CGGTTCGGTTCGGTTCGGTTCGGTTAAGTTCTGTTCGGTTCCATACCATAATTAAATTTTTAACATTTACAACAACACTACATAAATACAACTAATGACATTTCATTCGTAACTTTTATAAATTAACATAGCTCAGTTAAAAAACATACAAATAACTAGTTATCCAATAAAATTAATTCAATGCATACAAATACTAAAAAATAGATGTTAATATTAAAATATCGGTGATCCATATCAAAAACTGCAAATGGATCCCAAACTCCACTATTTCTTGTCTTTAAAATGGACTTTAAAATTAAGTTTATGAAATGATCTGATTTATTTAATTAATTTACTAATTTGTTTAGAAAAAAATAATTTAATTTAATTAATTCAATATAAAAAATAAAAAAATATTATTTAGTTTTGGGTCTTATTCGGTTCTTGGTCTAGAATCGAGATCCAACTCAAACTCATCGGTTCTTGACTCGAGTACCCGTTCGGGTATTTAATTTATGAAGAACAGCTCGATTCGGTTAGATTCGGTCCGATTCGGATCAAGACTTTTAGACACTCCTAAGAGCGTTGCTTGGAATTAATAATAGAGTTGATTATGAAATTAAACTGATAATTCACTGCGACCATTGACCTTGTCCGACCCTACACAATTTCTTCTTAATGGAATAAAAAAAACAGGGCCCCAATAACATGCCAGTCTTCAATTATGATGCTAAGATTCCTGCAATTGGGTATGAAGTTCTTGATTTGTCATAATGTGGGGACTTCTATTAGTAGGAACAAACTTCTACATTATCTATTTTACTTTGAACCTCCCTATGTTGCCATTGTTGGTTGATATTGATGGCGTGAGATACCAAACCTATTTCTGGAGAAGTTCATCATGGTGGGTGGAGTATGGAGAAATTCAAGAAAACGACACTGACATGATGTATCTCTATACACAAGTTTTGTAGGAAATACTTACTCTTGACTGATGTACTATCATCGATGAAATTACTATATAGATGAAATTGTAGATCGTAGATTGACCTCATAGACGATTGTTTGCTTCGTCTATGTCATCTGTGAATGAATCTATTAGTTTCAAACAATGAAGCACATTATTGCTATCTATTCGTCTTTTACAAAATACGATATTTCTGTAAGTCGCATTGCCTAATATGATAGAGCAAAAAGATTCCAAACGATTATATTCATCTTTTTTTTATAAATCTATGGTGGATGGAATTTGGAGAAATTCAAGAAAATGATGTTGACATGATATCTTGTAATAATAAAACATTATGAAAATTGACATAAAGATGGTTTTATATGAATATTGATAGGTGAGGATTGAAATGGAATAATTTCAATTTAGCTTAAACCATAGTTTTGTTAGTTAGAGCACAAGTAGAAATGTGCAATTTGACAATTATTCTTGTTACTTATTAAACAAACAATTGAGTACCATTGTTCAAAAAACCATAGTGTGATTAGCTGTGGATGCGAAATTTCAAACTTTACAACCTTAAGTGAGCTTAGGCATAAAAAAGGGTTTTCTATTTTTAACATTATTTTCAATTTTTAATCATTTTAAACTATTTAACAATAAAAGTAATATATATCAAATATCTAAAATTATAAATACCATATTTACTTAATAATTCATAAAATTAGTCAATTATACAATTTTCGAATTTTCAAAATGCAAAAATTAAAATATTCTTCATAGTTTCAATTTTCAACCAGACAAGTTCTACTTAATAGATTTATAAGAACGTCATATATTCTTTTGGAGTTTGCAACAAAATAACGAGTTTCTAGATCATAATTACATAATGTAAATAGTACCATAACTTAAAACTTATTTAACTATTTAGATAAAATTATTTTTTTACTTTTGTACTGATAAAATCTTTAAAAAACTTGAAATTAAAGTTAGATGAAAAGTTTTTTTAAAATATAAAAAATTAATAAGCTAAAGTCAAATAAAAGACTTTTTAAAAAAGGAAAAATAAAAAAAATTAATAAAGCGCGCATTGAAAAGATGAAAGAGGGAAATGAAAAAATTCGGCCATTTAGGAATTGGAAAAAAAAGTGTCGAAACACAAAATGAAGTGTTTTGCCCAAGTTTCGAGTTTAGGCGGTGCCTAGACGCCACACATAAACGAGCTTTTTAGAACGCTGTTGAGCATAATATCACACGAAGTAAATGAAGCATCTATATAAGTTGTGAAATGAATATTATAGCATAGGGTAATTAGCACATAACGTCCATACCTTTCAATGTCATTGTGGAAAACGTCATTACCTTTTATTTTTTGGAATTTTCATCCTTATTTCAACCTTTCATTGCGTAAAATGTAATTTTCATCTATTTTTTCAATTAAAAATTGTGAAATGACAAGTATACCATTCTTTTTAAATAAAACAAAAGGAAAAAGAAAAAATAATTGCAATTATAGTCTCAATTTTTTTGAAAAACGCAAATGAGTTCCAAATAAATTATTAAAAGGGTAATTAGCACATAATGTCCATACCTTTCATTATTATTGCAAAAAAGTTCATATCTTTTAATTTTTTTGGCATTGTCATCCTTAATTACACATTTATGGTATGTTTGAGTAACATTATTTTGAAAGAATGCATTTTATAGTAAATTGATGAAAAATGTGTGGTTGAAAAAAATAAAAAATTATTGATGTGATGGAAAATATTATTTTATTGAAAAATGTGCGGCTAAAAAATGAGTAGAAGAATGTGAATGAAAATTTTATTGTGGCTCAAATAAGGGCTTAATTGCACAAACCATCGTTTTTATCAATTTTCATTAAATTTCTTAGTAAAAATTTGTGAAATAACGAATATATCCTCATATTTAAATAAAAAATTAAAGAATTAATTACAATTATAGTTCTAAATTTTAAGTGCAAACTAATTTCCAATAAATTATTACAAATTTTTAATTTTTTTAAAAAGTGCAAATGAGTCCCAATTAAATTTATTTAAAAATTAAAAAATAAAAAGTGTGAACGAGTCCCAAATAGTTTATTAAAGAATTAGAAATTAAAAAATATTTTTTTTATTTAAATATGATGGTATATTCATTATTTCACAGTTTTTTTATTGAGAAATTGGATGAAAATGAATGAAAATGATGATTTGTACAATCAAATATGTAATTAATGGTGAAAATGTCAAAAAATGAAAAATATGGACGTATTTCGTAATAATGGTGAAAGATAGTGACATTATATACTAATTACTCTTTTAGGCCCTGTTTGGTACACATTATTATTTTTATTCTCATTCTTCTACTCATTTCAACCACATATTTTTCAATAAAATAATATTTTCCATGACATCAATAACTTTTCCTTCAATTTTAACCACACATTCTCCATCAATCTACTATTCAATAATATATTCTTTCAAAAGAATGTGTCACAAACACTACTTAAATAATTATTTGAGACTCATTTGCACTTTTTTTAAAAATTGGAGTATGGTTGTAATTATTTTTTTCTTTTTCTTTTTATTTTTTTTAAGAGAATGATATATTTATCATTTCATAATTTTTAATTGAGAAAATAGATAAAAATAACCTTTTGCGCAATGAATGCGAAAATAAGGGTGAAAATGCCAAAAAATGAAAAATAAGGATGTTTTCCACAATAACAATGAAAGTTAGGGTCGTTATGTGCTAATTACCCTACAGCATAAGAAGGGGACCAAGGTTTTAAGGTATGAACATTAAAAACTTAAACTACGTAGAACTATTTTATTTAAAAGCTTAAACTATTATAGGACTTAAAACATGTACAACTATTATAAATGGGTGGTGGCGGCAAAGCTTAATTTAAAGATTTTTTCTTGTTCATATATCATGTTGAAATTATCTTCCCCTTAGTAACTCAAACATTTAGATGAATCGATTCAACAAAGTAAATTTTATGCAGTTGATTTTTTTGAACCCCTCACAAAAAGGAAAAAGGAGAAGAAATTAACATGAAAAATAGTGATGGGTAGAAACGTTCACAAATCACCTTCAATAAAATAGAATGAGCAAGCTTTGGGAGACAAAGCAAAGTGGAAACAATCATGCTATATGTACTTCATATTTTACATTATTTTTTAAAATATGTCACGTGGCACCATATTATTGGACAGTTAAAAAAAAACCGTTTTTCACTAAAAAAATCTTGCCAAGATGATGTCAAGGATGATGTACATTTTTAGTATACAAATGGCTTTTCCCAAGTGAAAAAGCAAGAAAGATAGGATTTTCACAAGTTTTAACAAAAGCTGAAAATCCCATGAAGAATAAAATTAAAATAAGAAAAAATAAAGGGGAAAGAGATAAATAAAAAGTTCAATTTAAACCGTGCAAGTCGCTACCACTTTGTGTGTTTTTAATTACAAAAATGTAAGAAAGAAAACTTGTATTCTTTGATTCTTCTTTTTACAAATCGGCTAAAATGACCAAGTCTTTTGATTCAAGTAGTAATAATAATAATAATAATAATAATAATTTTATTTTAATGCTTTTTTATTCAAGTTCATTTAATTCTTGACGGAAAAAAAGGTTACTTTTTTAGTATTCACAGAAAATCTAGGATTTGGGATGGATAATTTTAATTTAGCACTTGTTTGGTGGAGATTAAAATTATATTTTTTTTATTGATTTTGAAAAAAGTTGATGGAATGTATAGTTAAAAAGTTATGGGACTAATGAAATATGTATTTAATATTAATTATTTGGCTTTTAACTTAAATTAAAATTTTATTGTAATCAGGGGGCCAATAATTTTAGAGTAATTTCCTTTTGATACATGTCAAAATTGCTGACGGGTTTCTCTGTGTCTTATTCGATCAGCTTGTCATCTTTCTTTCAATGAACAGAATTTGTAATTTCAGTAGTAAAATTTCAATCTAGAATTTTTACTCTCTGTGTATGTAAATTATTTTACCAAATCAAAATGTCGACATATACGAAGAAAAAGTGAAAAGCTTTTATTTACATGTATAAAATAGTTGATACCCATCTTCTATTCTACCACCTCAGCCAGTTTCTTTCCCTGACACCCCTCTCTCTCTCCTCTGTAAGTCCCTCTTCATTTTCTCTCTCTAGTTCTGATTCTAGTATATAATTAAATAGTTTGATATGGATGTATAATTTCGAGAATGTATTTTTGTGGGTCTTTAGAACTTGGCTTATTCATGAAAAATTGTTGAAAAAATTGGATTTTGTGAGTTTTTTGGATTATGTTTTTGGCTTAAAAATGTTGTTATTTTACTTATTTTGATTTGCATGTATTGATTCAAGTTTCTTGAGCCTTGATTTCTCTTTCTTGATTCTCAAACCTATTTTTTTCAAGTTTTGTCTTTAATTTTCTTGGCTGCAGAAGTTTGATTGTGATGAATTATTTATAAGAATCTGGAGTTTCGATTGTAATTGGATTGAATAATTTTTCTAGATCTTTTGACGGATGTGATCATTATTTTGTGAAATTGTAGTTCAATTAATTTAATGTGAATAAGCTGTTCTTTATTTACTGACTAAAAAAATGTGGTACTTAATATTCTTTTTATTTTGATTAATTCTAGTCCTGGATTCTGTCAAAGGTGAGTAATTTTAGTGCAAGTACTATGTTGCTTCAATGTTTAATTGAGTATTATGTATGAAGTTGATATTACATGATTTTAGCTAGTTCATTGGACTAAAAATAGTTAATTTTTCATTTGTTTACCATTTTTGAATACAGTGTTTATTAAGAATGGCTGTCTCTTGCAATAAAAAGGATGGAATAGAGTTGAGGATTCATGAAAACGCAGACGGGCTAAGTACCGATTTGGCAGAATATATTGCATCATTATCTGAGGCTTCTGTAAATGAGCGGGGTGCATTTGCCATTGCTTTATCTGGTGGTTCTCTTATTAGCTTGATGAGGTATGTATGTGCATTTTGTCACATGAAATTCACCTTTTTATAATACTAGAATTCGAGTTTGAATTTTGATTGTAAGCAGAAAACTCTGTGAAGCTCCTTTCAACAAGACTGTTGAATGGGCCAGGTGGCATATATTTTTGGCTGATGAGCGTGTTGTTGCAAAAAGCCACGTTGATAGCAATTATAAGCTACTTAAGGATACTCTTTTGGCGAAGGTATCTGATTCTAGGTACTTTGTACAGTTTATCTGCCTTCTTTTGTTGACTTGGTGACTTGTGAACTTTTTGTTGGTTAATATTGTCATCGTTTGTGATTAAAGCGGACTCAATCCGTACTATTCTTGCATTCAGACTCCTTGATTGGCTATGCTGGCATAATTTTTGATCGCCTTTTGGCAATTTCTCCTGTTTTAAGTATAAAACGGACATTTGCATAGTATATACAGCCAAGTTCTGATGCAAATACTATAGATTTAGCTGTATGCATTTTATGATGCCGAACCAGCATCCCAATCTATATCATTCTAGATGGTCTTTTTCTTCAATATCTTCACTCTGTTGAAAGAATGATCTTTCCGTGGTTCATGGATGGGGCAGATCTGCTTACGAGACCTGCAAGAGCCTCAGCCTTCTTATTTTGGCAATAGTTTATTTTGTATCCTAAAATTCTAATAATAATATTACTTAAATACTCCCTCTTTGTGAGTCAATTTTTTGCTTGGAACTATTGTAAACTCAAATGATCTGATGACCAGCTTAATCCACTTCAAAAAGTTCTGTACTGATATAACATGTCCTACTGGGATTGCCTTGCTGTGATGAAAAGGAAGTTATATCTACGTAAAACATGTTTTTATTTTTTCGTTTTTTCAACTTCAAAGACTATAACCTTCTGATCTTGAATATCATCTCTTCTTGGTCACACTGTTACATGATTTTCTTATGGTGGTAAATAGCACACCACTCTCTATCTGACACAAGATTTGGCTATAATGCAAGATAATAGTTCCTTATGTTAGAGTTCGGGCATTTGTGAATCCTTGAGTTTCAATATTTGCCTAGAAGAGAGAAGAGTTACCTCATAGGGTAAGAAGGGAAACAGGTCTGTATGTCATATGGACTTATGGAGCCAATATTTGAGGTACTAGTTTGTTGATCTTTAAGTTAGAAAATTGACAAGGATATTGATTGTTTTAACAGGAATTATGTTCTTGACATGTTTTTAATAAGTCCTTCAAAGCATGTTTGGTAGTTAATATGTTATGTTAGTTAGGGAAAGATTGGATGGTACTAAACATTATGAAATAAGAAAAAGAAGCTCAAGTCTTATTCATTGTAGTGTTAAGTCCAGTATAGAATACCAAATGTACACCTCCTACATGTTTGGTACCGTGTACTAGACACCGAACAATATTTGAATCTCTTTTCTTCCTTAATAATAGCTATAGTTATATGATCCTCCCTACCAAACATGCCATTAGTGAATAAAAGTATACAACGTTATGTTCTTTTACACAACTATATGCTTGGTAAGTTAGCACTTATGTCTGGTGTTTTATGGCTGTCTCGTGTAGGGCTCCGCATTTGATGATTCCATTTGTTCTCTCTTTAACTCAATAACTAAAACTGGTCTACAAAATAAATATTCTCATTATTGGCCCGTTTCAGAAGTATCTTCAATGAACTTCTTTTATGTCTTCGTTGGTCTAATTTACGCTAAGTAGCATGAAAATGAAATGGTTAAAATTTCTTGTATTTGATGTCTCTCTGGAATTGGGCAATTAATTTGTCTGATAATGTGGATTCAACTCGGTGGACAGCTACTTCGAGTGGTAATAATAGCATACCTTACTTCAGTCTAAAGTTCAATTCCATGCAGAATTTTCATTTACCAACTTTTGAACTATTCAATATACAAGAACATTGGCATTATTTTCCAATTACAAAGATTTGGCCAATGAATATGTTCAATTTCGTATTCCAAGTATCTTCTTTCAGTCTTCCAAATAGGAACAGATGCTTGTATGAGAAGACTGTCTCCACATTATTTGAAGCACCTATATAGGGCTCCATATATACCCTGTGTTTACTGCAATTCTTATAACGTAAACAAAAAACAGAACTGCTCAATTTTTTTGTTTTCCGCAGCTCGATTTGACTGCTATTTATTTTCAATAAAAATGGGAGGGCACCTGATATTGAATTTCTTCTGTGATCATTTAATTTTGTGGTTACCACGTGTTATGACAATATTTCTTTCCTGAAGCCTCCTTAAATGTCTGCAAAAGTCGGTATCTTTTTTTCCATTTTTCTGCCTTTGAGCAAGATAAAACTTAAGCTTAGTAGTAGTTTAGCTCACTGTAGCTTTGATATTTCCGTATTTGTTCTCGAGTCTCTTAACTATGTTATTGTCGAGTATAGTGCATTATACATATTTTTTAGTTGTCCAAGTTGTGAAGCTGAGAAAAGGAGAAATTGAATTATGCAATCGATGTTTTCAAATATACTTGTTTATTGTTTCAGGTTCCTACTGTTCCCAGCCATGTCCATTCTATCAATGACACGGTAACAGCAGAACAAGCTGCAGAGGACTATGAGTTTGTCATCAGACAGCACGTAAAGACTCGTGTGATCGATGTATGTGAAATTAACGACTGCCCAAAGTTTGACCTCATCCTCCTTGGAATGGGCCCAGATGGGCACATCGCATCACTATTTCCTAATCACTCAGCGCTTGATGAGAAAGAACTGTGGGTGACATTTATCACTGACTCGCCCAAGCCTCCACCTGAGCGAATCACTTTCACATTGCCAGTTATAAACTCTGCCTCCAAAGTTGCTGTAGTTGTGACCGGTGGTAGCAAAGCAGAGGCTGCCCACCTGGCGATTGATGACATTGGGCCCGAATGTCCAGTACTACCGGCGAGAATGGTGCGCCCAACTGAAGGCAAGTTAGTGTGGTTTTTTGATCAAGAAGCTGCATCAAAACTTGATGATGTGAAATGCTAAGAGTAGGTTTTAGTACCTATGAAAGTCTATGTATGTAGTGGAGGGATACTTGATACTTTATTTTTCATTAGGGCCTTTTTTTTTTTCCTTCTGGATCTGAGGATCTCTATTTCAAGGAAGGAAAAACAATAAATACAAGGAAAAATATACATAAAAAAAGAACCTTTTTTTCTTTTTTTCTTTTTCTATAGCTAGTTTCTTGACTTGCTTTCTCTATTCATTGAAAGGATTTGCTAAGTTCCTTCTCTTAATGGTATAAGCTGAGGCTTAGGAACTCGTAATTGGTAGGATAGACATGAAAGAAACTGATATAAATTAATTGAAAAAGAAAGAAAGAATATTGTTTGTTGTCTCTATAGGATAAGCTGTTATCTAATATCAAGCATGTCTTTACTGTAAGAAATGTTTTTATTATAAGAATTGAGATAATTTATATGATTTCTAGAGAAGAATGGGGGAATAGGCCAAAATCTCGACCTCCACAAGGAAATAAATTCACAAGTAAACAGAAAAGAAAATCACACAACCTAGAGAACGTACTATTCTCTTTACAAAGAGAGATAAAGAGTTGTAATTCAGAAAAAAACGAGTATATAGGCATGAACATGTTATCAATCAAGATGATTAATACAATGAATGTCAATGATATCTAACAAAAATGGAGTTGTCATACATTTTAATACGTTGGCCAATGAATCATGATCTAGTGTCGCCCAATTAATGATTATCACTGATGATAAATAATATTATTCTTTTTGAAAAATCTATCCTAAATCTCTTGTTAACAAGGAAAAATAAAAGAAAACAAAACAAAAATCATTCTATATTAACAAGTGAATCTGAGGTTCTATAAGTTCAGGAATCTTCATTAATCATAGAATTGAGGTGACTTTAAGAATTTTCCCTTTTAATTAAGGTGATGGGACTAACAAGGCATTATTTATTCCAATTAACATCATTTTCTTCTCCACCTGCGTTTAGTGGGTAATCTTATAAGTTGTGTTAACTTACCAGCAATGTTATATCTTTAAATTACGTGGCATGCGCATAATAGAAAGAGTCTCACATATACTAATTCAACATCGATTATTCAATTGGAGACGTGGACTTGGGCTCGTTTTACTAAGCCTATTTGGCTCATCTCACTTCTATATCTATGTGAGTTCATTATTCACCAAATATAATGTTACTTTACCCTAGAAAATCCCCCCATCTCGTCTATTATGCTAATTCTCTCTCGATCGGCCGTTGATTTGATCGTCCGAATGTAAATGGTCGTCGGACCTTTTTCTCGATTGGTTAACTTTGCACTCTAACTGTGTGTTCCAGTGCGCAGGTGATGCTTATGTGGAGGGGAGGATGTCAAAATTCTTTTAATCATGTCGTCCTCGCGGAAATTGAGGTCAACAAGCCGTTTCCTAAACCTGCTTCATATCGCTTCGAAGTAAAATTTAGTGCTGTGAATCAAACATAGACCTATAACAAGATTAACAAGCACTTGATAGTTTAACGTGTAAACAAAGATTAAGCTGTAAACAGTGATTAAAAAATCTTCTATAAAGCAATTTGCTAATTGCTTCATACTCAACTCAAACCAGTCTTAAACGCAATTCTCATATGAGAATATGTGTCAATCCGAGTCTCAACAGCTTCACTCGTAACTGAGTATGAATAACAAAACGGATATTGTCCCCAATCTTGAAGTTCCAGAACATGGGATTAGTTTTCTGTTCCCAGTGTATCAATTTCTCAAAATCGGGAAAAAAAAAATTATATTCCAAGAACTAGATGTCTTTTACTTGCGCAGGTCTTTAAGCCAACAACCACCGATAAACCAACAGAAACCGGAATAACCCAGTAATGTTTACGGAGGTTAATGACCTTTTGGGGGAATGCCCTTAAGTTGTTGCTTCTTAAAGACGATCTCCAGCTTAGAATGGCTGGGGAAGTTGGGTTGAGTTCTCCAATTCAGAAACTCTCCATAAGTTTCCTCGCAGTCTTGATATGCCCAGAGTCTTCGAATTCATCAGTGGCATCTTTTCCTTCGAGAATATAAGCAAAACCAGTTCATTATGGTTCCGATGTCTACTTAAGATGATCATTCGATTCAAAAATAATTTAATTGCATGCAGGTAGACGCAAAAGTTTAAAGTTAGAAGGATACAATTGAACTTGCAAAGAAGTTGGGAGAAATTTTACAATCGAAAATTTATGACCAAAAAAATCTTTCCCCATATAATTTTGCATTCGAAAATTTACATAGGATATGATTTTTCGGATGTAAAATTTCGAAAATTTTTGATATCATATTTCATATAAAATTTCCTAATAAAATGATGAAAATTACATTGAGAAAATTGTATCGTAAAAATAATAAATGTTAACGAAATAATTGAATTTCTTTAAAAAAAATGCAAGTTAGAAGACTTTCTTTAAAACTCACGTTTAACGTATTTTTAACTATTTTCGATATCTATTTGGACTATTCGATATGCCTATAATGTAGTTCTCGAAATAAGTTTTGAGATGACATAAGCAATTTGTAAATTCAATTAGCGAACAATCGTAGGAGAATTTTTAAAGTTAGCATATTATCGAAATTTTGTAAATACTAAGTTTGAACGACCTACTTTGACAAGTTGTACATTTGTTACGACGTAAAAAATTAGATCGTGAACATTTCGAAATAGTATTAAGAATGTAATATTTCAATTTCGTTTCACATTCCATAATGACTTCCAAAATTGAAACAAAAATATAGAAAATTTAATGGTGAGAAAAAGGGAGCAAAGTTGGGGGGTCACGTAACCCCTCAAGCCACCCTCTGCATCCGCCCATGATTACACGAAGTATAACAAACTCGTACCAGTTGCCCTAAGTAAAACATCATCTCTACTGAGTGTTCGTCTAAGTAGGATTGTTGTGTTTTTTTTATATCCAATAAATTCTGGACAATGATGTTAAATCGAAATTATTCAGTTGATATCGACCAAATGACTTAATTACAATATTGACACCTTAATGGAACGACCCAAACCTAGAACTATTTGGACCATTGGAGGCAGACTAAGTTAGTTAGAGTTTCTTGTGGCCCATTTCCCGACTTCTTGGATGGCTTGCAAGTATTGACCCATGTATTGATTTGGACTTGACCATTTTCTCTCTATTTACTGCACATTTTTGTGATGTTTACGTGTGTTATTCCCTTCCTCAAAAAAGAGAGAAACCAGATGCTTCTTCCATTGTCTCTTTCAATGGTTTTTCTTCTTCCTTTCGCCTTTGTGGTTGTTTGAGTGGGTGCCCTTGTGACTGTAATAACATCGTCACTTTGTATCCCTTGTGGGTGCAACGAAAGTGTGGGCAAATAGTTTTGGTTCTTGGGTCATTGATTGAGGTTGCCGATTTCGATTAGATTCATAAACTGAGCCAGGATTCCACGAATCAAAGATCAATTTTTGCTACAATTGGTATCGGAGTCACATTGGTGGTGGATTTTCAGCCAGAAACAGATCCAAAAATGGGCAGAATTAGAGCAAAATTAGATAAAAAATCTACCCAGATTTTCTTGTGAAAACTGGACCTGTAAACTTGATTTTCGGGCAATCCAGAGATCCATTGGTGAAACCGAGATCGGAATTGAGACGTACAGGTGGACGCGGTCCTAAGGGTGTAGCGCATGATAGCCAAAGAATAACAAACCAAGTGGGGAGTGAATTGGTTTTTAAAATTTTTTCGAAGAATTAATCTAAATTCAAGTAAGTAAAGATTAAATAGATTAATTCAAATAATAACACAAATATGAAAGCGATAAGTAAAAGGGAAAAATGATGTAAACGACATAAATGTAGAGGTTCGATCCAAAATAATGATCTACGTCTTCCATTACCAAACTCTCCGGCACGAACAAGACATTTTCACTATGTTGATTGACTTATGGTGTAATCCAACCATTTACAATGCTTTCGGTAACTTACAAACAAGGAGTATCGTTCCTTATACAATGTTGAGCTTTACGAGACCTCAACACGACCCAATATTAAGCTTTCACGGGACCTCAATATGACCTACACGGTGACTTACAACAAGGAGCACCGATTCTTATACAATGTGATCTTTAAGGGACACGACCCACACTTTATCAAAGTGATTTTACAATGGAATTCATAATACTAACAAGTTAAGTACAAAGAGAAGCTAACACTTCAATGAATAGTAATAAATGATAACTCAAGTATTAGATGAAATTTTTTGATGAATATGATAATCAAAATTTAAATTCAATCAATCAAAGTGTTTCAATAAGAAGATAAAGAAGAAATAAATACAATGTATGTTAAAAAATCTTCTCAAAATATATCTTTTTTAATGAATAATTATAATAAATTAAGTACTAAGAGAGAAATGAGAAACTTGGATGAATATGATAATTTTACAAATTTGATTCAATCAATCAAAATTTTCAATATGAAGAAATAGAAAAAAATATGCAATATAAGTGCAAAGATCCTCTTCAAAAATATATCTCTTTTTTAAGATAGATATAAATAAGTTAAGCGCAAAGAGAAATGAAAAACTTTGATGAGAGAAATGATTTAAGAAATTTGATTCAACAATCAAAGTTTTTGTTATGAAATATAAATTAAATGAATGTAAAATTGTAAATCAAAGAAGATATATTACAAATATATATCACAAGAAACATCTCTTCTAGTTGTTAAATGAATACAAAGTAAAGTAGTATTTATAGCAGTCAAAATGCCCAAAATTCTGACCAATCGGACGACCCAACCAGATGTCCGCCACTGAATCGGACGACTAAACTAGCCGATATGTGTCAGAAATCAAAACGGTAAACAAAAATTATCGTTGACGAACCGACGTCCGCCTAGTAACCGGAAGTCCAGTTGACTTTGACTTTTTTTTTTTTTTTTTTGACAAAATGTGGGTTTTTGAATGAGTAAGTAATATCAAATTGAAATTGAAAAATATTTTTTTATGAA